GGGCTCTCCCTCACACTGCAATCTTTTTCCACGCCTCCCTGACCCTGAACAAATTGGGAGGGAGGAACTCAGTTCCACAGACGCTGAATCACCAAGGAAGGCTTATGAGACCCGAATACTCTAATGAAGAAGTACTTCACCCAGGAATTATAAACAAAAGCATGGAGTCCTGGTGGTGGGGCAATGTGGGACTTCACCTGTTGCACAATATGAGATTTTGTGTTTTCCTTTTTCTCTATTCATAAAACCTCCTTTTCTTACCCTGAGCCAGGTATCTCCTTACTTGACTTTTCAATTGAGGTTTCTCTGGGTTTCTGGGAGGGGGCCAGAGCCAGAACAGGACAGGGAACAGAGCCTACTGTTTGTGGATCAGCTTCTGGAAGCCAGGCCTGTGTTTTTCTTCTCCCTTGCTGTGCCTGCCTCCCCTGTTCCCTTTCTAGATAGGAGGGAGTCTGTATCCTAATGCTCTGGTTTGTGCAAACATTCTGTCCTCTCTCTATCTTACCCCCACCTAGAATGTTCTGTAATGTTCCCATGACAGGGCATTTTCCTCTCATGAGGCCAGGAGCTGAGTTAGCATGCAAATTGAGCTGCAGATGGTGAAAGGAATCACAGTTCTTCCTGGTGTCTGAGCCCAGCGGCCATATGGCTGTCCTGAGCTGCTTTTCATACTCACCCTTCACAGACCCAAGGGACCTGTCCTCTCCTGATTTTCTAGTTGTCTCCACCTGTTCTCCCTTCTTAATGCCTCTCATCTTGGTTTCCACTAAATCTAAGCAGACAGAAAAGGGAAAAAGGTGGAGAAACTGAGACAAAACTGTGACTGCATTTTTCTACTTTTTAAATAGTGTGGATGAAAAAGAGGCCACATACTAAACCTGACAAGACCCAAGTAACCACATAGGATGGTCCGAACATTAAAATTCCTAACTAAAAGTGGGTCATGGCTGGTAGTCACATTCTAGACCTGTAGCTTTGTTGACAAAGTTAATCTTTAAGTGAGCAAGTCAATTTTATTCGAACAACTAAGATATCATACCTCTGAAATATCAGAGTAATTTTCTTTTCCAGATTCCTCGAAGGCACAATCGCACAACCAATGGCACCAGAGCTTGAGACCACGTTGTCATCTTGTTGCCTAAATACCATCTCTGTGTGCAGTAGGTGTTAACTATTCTGTACCGACCAATGTAACAGATATGCCTCTCTGTTTTACTTTTTATCCAATCTTAAGAGATTTCTCCACTTTACTTTCTCACACTCTCTTAATGAAGTTTATGTAACCCTCCTTATATCTCCTCCTTTTATTCTAACGTATAAAATAAACTGCAAAACTGTTATTTTTCGGGAGCATTTGCTCAATCTGTTGATATTCTGTTTACTGACAGTTGTCGTCAGTTTGGCTCAATACATTCATTAAAATTCTCAGCAAGTGTAGACGTTTACTACAGTACAATAGTTTCATTTAGGTTTTGCAGACTAAGGACATGTAGGGATGCCCAATGTCTAGACTCAGTCTTCTTCCTTAGGTTTTTCTTTTTCTTTTTTATTGTTTTTAAAATACACATAACAAAATTTACCATCATAACCATTTTTAAGCATATAGTTCAGTAGTATTAAACATATTCACATTGTTGTGCAGCAGTCACCACCACCTATCCCCATAACTCTTTCATCTTGTAAATCTGAAACTCTATAACTATTAAACACTAACTCCCCATTCTCTCCTCCCTGCCAGCTCCTAGCAACCACCTTTATACTTTCTGTCTCTATGATTTGACTAAGTACTTCATATAAGTGGAACCACACAGTATTTGTCTTTTTGTGATGGCTTATTTCACTTAGCATAATATCCTAAAGGTTCACCCATGTTGTGGCAAATTGGAGAATTTCCTTTCTTTTGAAGGCTAAATAATATTCCCTTATATGTATATACTATATTTTGCTTATCCACTCGTTGGTCAATGGACACTTGTGTTGTTTCCAAGTTCAGCTTGTGAATAATGCTGCTATGAGCATGAGTGTACAAATAGCTCTTCAAAATCCTGCTTTCAATTTTTTTGGGTATATACACAGAAGTAGAATTGATGTTATATGATAATTCTATATTTAATTTTTTAGGCACGCCTATACTGTTCCTCCCTTAAATTTTTTGTATATGTTTGATGGTTGTTGCAGACACCTATATACTATCAAGTGATAATATGTCATGAGAACTTCCCAAATCCCCAAATTTGTGACTGTCACTAGAGCACTAGAAATCAACTATTCATGGAGACATTTTATTTAGTTTTTCACCAAGAAATAAAGGTTTTATCAGGTAGGCCAAGTGTTCCTCACTTCCATATGCATGAAAGCATCTGAAGAGCTTTTCTGAACTCCACCATTGGAAGTTCCCCATGGGTGGGTCTGAGATGGGGTTGAAGTGTTTGCAAAGCATGGACTTCCTCTGAATCTCACTCCCTTGAGTCTCAGTCCCATTGACATGAGGGTGCTAATGGAAGTGACCCCACAAGCTTGTGAGGATTCAGTCAGATGATAGGTGTGAAGTACAGGCATAGGTCCTAAAGGTCAAGTATTGTTATCATTGAAGGGAGGGCCCTCCTTAGCAACCTTGCAGCTTCCATCATTGAAATGCACGTTTCAGCAAAACTATTAGAGGCCATAATTACCCTTTGCTTCATAGTGGAAACTCCAAGTGCTAGAGTAGCAAACATCACAGTATGTTGTCTTACATAATTTCTGCTAATTAAATTTCTTTTCATAACTGTAATGAAAGTTCTTTGCCCTCCCCACCCCCATTCCCAATTGGGCTACATGCCAAGGGGAGTATGGGAATATACAGCTTGAAATATCCCATTAACAAATAAACTTGAGGAAGCAAGATTACAAAAGCATGGGGTCAGTGTGTGAGAAATCAGTGTCTCCTTCACTGCAGGAGGAAGTGTAAATAGGCGTAGTCTTTTTGGAGGACAATTGGCATATATTCCAACTCTACAGTAAATACATCCTTTGTATTTCCATGTTTAGGCATCTATTCTGGGAAAACATAGACATATACAGTGGGGCCCTGACTTACGAGTTTAATTCGTTCCGAGACCAAGCTCGTTAAGGATCTCATTAACTCAAATTACTCTATCAACTCAATGCAAAAAATCGGCTGAGAGACAGCTGGTATCTCAAAAAAACTCGTTAGTCGGGACACTCGTAAGTCAAGGCCCCACTGTATAAACAAAGAAGCATCTATAAAGTATATGATGCATATAACAGCAAATTGTTTATGATACAGAAACCACCTAAATGTTTAAGAAAAAAAATCTGGTTAAATAAATTATGAACCACTTATAATAGAATATTAGATAGTGGTTGTTTTTGAAAAGGGGGGAAAGATACTAACATGGAAAGATACTCTCTATGACACAATGTTAAGTGAATAAAGCAAAACAATATAACGTCATTTCTGCAGAAAAGGGAAATATTTGTATATATACATATGTGTGTGTGTAAAAGCTTAGGAAAGCACTTAGAAGAATATACAGTAAACACATGAAAAAATAAAAAAAAAAGAACTTTTAAAGATTGTTAACTAAGTGATAGTAGCCATGTCTGAGTCACTTGAAGAGAGGGATTAAGGAGTCCCCCCTTGCCCAGAGTGCTGTGGAGGGTTCTCCTGCAAGTTTTTGGGGCTGTCCACTTTGGCCCCACTCACTCACCAAGGCTGTGCTGCTCAGTAATCTGGCCTCGGGCCAGCCCCCTTGGATTTGGCGTTGGGCTTGCTCTTTGTTGTCCTCTGTGCTGCTTTGGGCCATTGATCTCCCCCCTGTACTGAGCTACTATGTCCTCTTCAGAGACTCTGGTTCCTCCTTCAGACTGAGGGGTCCTGGGTGCTTGTATCCTTTGAGCTTGATTCTGAGATGCTGGGTGTGAGCTAACTACCTGGGGTGGCCAGTCTGAGCCCTCCTCTCTTGACTTGCTTAGTGTTTCTCTGCTTATCCAGGCCTCCCCATAAGTTAGCGGTTCTCAACCTGTGAGTCGCGACCCTTTGGGGTCGACGACCCTTTCACAGGGTCGCGTAAATACATCCTGCATATCAGATATTTACATTACAATTCATAACAGTAGCCAAAATTACAGTATGAAGTAGCAACGAAAATAATTTTATGGTTGGGGGTCACCACAACATAAGGAACTGTATGAAAGGGCCGAGGCATTAGGAAGGTTGAGAACCACTGCTGTAGTGCTCATGAGGTGCTTGTCCCAGATCTGACCACCAAGGACGACGAAACAGGCTTTCTCTTCATTCCCATGGTCATTAGAGTTTTAGCTCTACACCCGCTTCTCTGAAATTCTGTAATTGGGATAAGAAAGAGGGCGGGCTTCTTATTCAGGACCCTGTGCAACATTTTGTATTTTTTCACTGTAGTTCAGCTTATTGTAGCCCTCTCTCTAGGAACCTCTCAGTGTGGAGCAGTGTAGGCTCAGAGACCACCAACCATCAAGAATGGGCTCTGTCTCTCAACTCCCAAGGGCCTTGCCAGCTTGTGATCTTTGAACAACCATCTCCTTGGATGAGTTACATAAGTGATAGGTGGGTAATGTCACCTACTTAGGGGTCTCAGCCCTGGGATGGCTCCAAAACACCACATATTCACCATCTCTCCCAGGAGGACATTGAACCCTCCTGGAACTGGACCTCCAGGAGACACCAGAAGGGACAACACCTAGCTTCATAGTTAAGCTCTTACTCTGAAATTCAACATTACACAGAGAAAATTCTTTTCTTTGGCCATTGTTCCTAAAGACACCAGGAAAACCAGTGCTGAACTGTGATGTAGCAATGAACAAAGGGCTAGAAGGTGTTCCTGAACTTTCCTCTTTGTGATTTGCATATCCGAGAAAACATACCCTAATTAGAGAGAAACCAGTTATTAACTAGAACAGGAACAGAGGAACTAGATCATGTCATCCTCTTCCTGCTCTACTGCCCCGCCCCACACTCCTTTCTGGTAACACTGAGGGTATAAATTGTGGCTGGGCTCTGTGTGTGCATTCACATCAAAAGCCAAAATGAAGACATGCACACTCTTTGCTCTAGTGGCTTTCATCACCGTGGGGATGGAGATGGCCTGTGGTGACCCTCTGACACCTCGTGTCCAAGGTGAGGGTGCTGAGGGGGGTCCTGCCTGACAGCAGAGAAGGCTCAGAGCCCAGCTTCAGACCTGAGGATGGTTTGGCACAGAAGCAGGCAGTGTGTTCACTGCAGAATGGAGATTTTGGACTGATCAGATCCACATTCTTTGACTCTCAGGAGTGATCACCCTGCATTCCCATTCTTCTTATCTGATCAGATTGGGTCTGATTAGAAGTTGGGGTTTTCTCTAGATATGCCTTGGATGTGGGACTCCAACAGGAGTAACTCCGTGATCAACATGGGATATGTGTGAGGTGGGGAGATGGCTGTCTGTGATCAGAGATTTTTCTAATATCTTATAAGGTGGAAAGAAGAGGGTTATGACAGCGCAGGTTTCTTGTCTGATGGGACTGTGCAGCCTTTGGAGCAGGGAGAACATTCTCCTAAGGGCCTGACTGTGAAAATGGGGGCTCTAGAGTAAAAGTGGAGCTGCTGAGGCTGAGGGTTGGATCCAGGAACATGAAGGAAGGAATGGAAGAGGCGGGAGTCCTGCTAGTGGCGAGGCTATCCGACCTCGAACACCAGTTCTCAAGCCTGTATAGTGACTGTTCCAGATTGCACAAAAACCGTTGTATGTTTCAGAGCAACAAAGACCTGGAGTCTGCCCGAAGGTGTCTTCAGACGTCATTGGGCCTTGTTATGTTGGATGCATAGGAGATGCATCATGTCCCAAGGGAATGAAATGCTGCGTCCATGGATGTGGTCGTGTCTGCAAAACTGCTCTCCCTGCAGTGAGTATAAATCAATGAAGAGCTTTCCAGGGGTGCAATAACTTCCTAGTGGACTTTGCTAAGGCAGATGAGCGCTCACGTGTCCACTGCCTGCAGGAGTCTGGATAACCCAAGAGAAAGAGTCTGGAACTGAATGGCAGAAGGACACCTGGCTGCGTTATCCAAGACCCTCTCCTCGAAGAGAAGCCCCATCCCTACCCCTGGGTGGCTCTCGGTTGAGACAAGTAACCAGGATCCTAGGTTCTCAGGTCATTATTATCCCAGGGTTTCCCACCCTCCTCCTCCTTCCCCACCAAGGGGGCTTCACTTTCCTGGAAATGAATGTTTGTGGGAAGATGGGGAAAAGGAAAGGGAACACCAATTATTGGGTATCTTCTGTGTTTGTCAGGCATTGTGCTGAAACTGAGATAAAAAGATAAACACAACCAGACGAGGGAGACAGAACTATGTGTATAATTACAACAGTGTAACCATGGCTTTGTGCTAGTTTCTACTAAGGTCGTGGGCGCAAAGGGAAAGTTATTGGCTTTGCCTGGGAGGTTGGATCAGTGCGTGTTGGGAAGGTTGTGGGAGAGTAGAGAACATTTAAGGAAGTGCTTAATGGAGGCATAAAGTTTGCAGGAGGAAGGAAGGGAAGTTCAGATGGTGGGAGAAGTGTGGGTCCGTTGGAGATGGGAAAGTGGCTGTGGTAGAAGTTGCAGCATTTCAGGGGCACAACATCTCAGCATCTTAGTAGAGGGTCATCTAAGCCAGGGTCCAAAGAAGAGAGAGATGCCTGTCAGTTTGGTAGACTGCTGGAGGTTTCTGAACAGAGGAATTGTCATGATCAAATTTGTATTTCAGAAGGGTGGCTTGGGTGGCCAAGTGAAAGATGGACAAGGTGTTTATTAAGCGTGCCTGGAGACGATCCTCAGAAGATTTCTCATGAATCTGATGCTTGGCTAACAAGACTCTTCTACAAACCATTCCTGGCTATTCTCTATCCCTGGACTTGCAGCTCTAGAAGATGAAGATCTAAAGTGGTGGAGTGACCACTTCTAAAGATCTTTTGTCCAAAATAAACCTTATCTGTGGCATGATTCAGGCTCTGTCATTCTTCCCATTTACGCATTCTAGTGGACCCTCTGTGGATGGGCAGGACCATATGTGTGTCCTGCACTGAGCCCATGAATGCAAGGTACTCATGAAAGATCAGAGGCAAGATCCTTCCAGCTAGTTCCCTTCCTCCTTCCATGTCCATGTCTCTAGACAGGGCAAAGGGCATAATAATATTTTCTCAATTATTCTGTGAATAAAAATGACCTTCTAGCACTTAGAAAGCCTATTGGAGCAGGACTGGATGCCTAACTCCAGGAGAGCAACCCCAGCCCTTGGGATGTGGGACTTTGAGTGGCAAAGACTGGGAAGTGCCAGCTCCTGCCCTGGAGTGACTAGGAGTTAGGGTACAGTTAGGACAGAGGCTCTGTGGGTGGAGTCTTTGATTCAGAGTTTTCCTGAGGCAGAGGATAAACCTAGGTCTCCCAAAGAAGCCTTGACAAAAACTATGGTCTGAGCTGACCGCTACAAGCTCCATCTCCCAGCGCTCTCTGTTCACTTTCCCACCTTGATTCCCCCCACTTAGCCTGCCGAGTTTGGCAGGCTCCCATCAACTTGTCCCTGTCCATCACGCTGCTGTTGCTTCTCCATAGCACATCTTATAACCCCAGTGGCCCAGGGCCTCACCAGTCTGTACATTGGAAGGAGCATATTAGCATCAATATCTTCTTTTACTGGTTGGTCATCTAGGTCCCAAACCCCAGCATGCTTTAGTCACTCTTGGTCATTTATGGGGGTTCATAGACACCTCTAACATGGTCTCAAACAATTTCACCTATTGTCTGCCATTCTGAATGCCAAAGATACTTGAGGATGGCATCCTACAACTTCCACTTACCTTTCTGCCCTTTAGATAGTCCTGAAATCCCTAGAAAGTTGTTTGTGCTCTTTTGTGAGCTTCTCATTTTTTTTCTCGCCTGCATTCCAACCCCCTTTATATTTTGGAGAAAACTCTTCTTTCTCCTCTTGGAAATTGACAAGGGCCAGACAGTCTCACCCTGCTTCCTAGCAGGTAGGGTTTGGAATTAGGATGCTATTTTCTGATGATGTGGATTGATAGGGAGTGACACTTAAGACTTATGAATTGTCAAAACCAATTCACAACAGCAGAGGTGCCAGTGACAGCATCCTAACCAGATTTGCCACGGGCTGGACTTGGCTATGTCCTCTTCTACCTGCTGTATTTAGGTCCTTGATATTTTCCCCAAGCCTGGTTCACCAGCCTTTCCTACTGTTTCTGTGAGCTGTATAATAATGTCTTTCCAGAACTCCTGCTCTCTCAAGTTGGACAGAATTGGCTTTTTTGTTTGCATCCAAGAACATTCACTTGTACAGAAATTGGTGTCAGGAGTGGACACAGGCCAAAAATACTCAGGGAGATGGCAGGAGTCTGGGTTTTATGAACTGGTCTAGTTAGAAGCCCCCTTATTCACATACCTATGCTCTCCTGTTCACGAGGCCCACCCCCTTGAGAACTTGGGTGGTCTCTGTTTTGGGGAGCCACTTCCATGATGGGCAGAGCTACAAATGGAACCCTGGGTTGCTCACAGCCTGTGTTTCTTTACCTGTGACCTCTGGCTAAGCACCCCTCACCCCGTGGCCATTTGCTCTAATGGGCTTCTCCCTTCCCCCGACCCCCCTCTCCCACCCTCAGTGGACAGGGGTGCTGTCATTGCACCTGTGCCTTTGGCAGCTGCTGGGTGCCTCCTGGTACAAGACCCTGATGCCACCCCACCTCTGTGGCAGCATCTCTCATCCCCTGGAGACCCCATTCAGTGCTCCCCTGCAGCTCCAAGGACCTGCTGAGCCCAGGTCCCAGCCTGTCACTAGTTCCCCAAGTCCTGCCTGCAGCCCCAGGATCCTCAAGGCAGTCTGAGAGGAGGATTGACCCCTTAGACAGAGTGGTGCAGACACCAGGTGGGTACTCTGCCCCACTCTCATGTGATCCTGTAGCCCCGCGCCCCGAGTTCACATGCCCGGTTCTGCTTGATCACGTGGCCCCGCCCCCTTGTTCATGTGCCCACTTCCCGCTTGATCAAACCAGTCTGGGAGGGGCTGGTGGGTTGACCCCTTATACAGAGGGGTGCAGACACCAGGTGGGCACTCCGCCCTGCTCCCCTCTCCAGACCCTCAGAAATGCCTTGAGCACCAAGTCTGTGCTGACGTCCAGCTCCTGGAGGGCTCGGCCTACGCACTGCAGCCACCAGAGGGGACCCATCTGCAGAGTGGCCTGGCCCCAAAGCCATTCTTCAGCCTCACACTTACCTCTTCTGAAGGGTAACCAGGTGTGGTTTCCACCCAGCCCAGCTGCCTGCCTTGGGAGGCAGCAGAGACTGTCACCCTCTGCTGGCCCATTCCTGTTACTGCAGAAGGTAAGAGTCATCCCTGCCGCCCAGCCCAGTGCCCACCAGAAGCCAGCCCAGCACATCATTCCCATTTCACAGGTCAGAACCAGGCTGCGGCGCTTCCCTCAGCCGGGATGGAGCAGAGCAGGATGGGGAATCATGACGGTCTCTGCAGCTGATGTGTGTGGTCCCCATTTTCTCGAGCCCAGAAGGCTCCAGGGACCTCTGTGCATTTGTAACTAGCTATGTCCCTGTATTTCCCTCATGTCCACCTGCTCGTATCCTGAACACCGTAGGCTCAAGTGGGTCCGCCTTCCTCTCCTCACGTCCACACCTCCAGTCTCCCCAGGTTCAACGGGCTCCCCTCAGGTTGAGTGCGCCTCTCGCCTCAATTCCCGCTGGGCCCACGCCTACTCACACTATTAAATTAAGATTTATTTCTGTTACTGAATTTAATGTTTTTTATTGACTATATTTTTATTGCTTTCTTGTTTTTCTTTATCATTTCCATTAGCTAGATTAAATTCGCATCTGCTGTTTTGAAAGTCATACTTCTCTTTTTATTCTTCTAGAATTTACCCCTGTGGTTTTTAAAGCATGTTAATATTCTCACCTATTCCAGAACAGGGACATTACCTTAGTGTGCCCTCATTTCTCTTTGGACATGCACTCTCCAACCCCATCCCACTTGGTAGCCAAGTAGATATGTCGTATGGAATTTTAGTTCTTGATTTCTTGATTTCATGTTTGCACTTTAAAAAGTTGTTTATTTTCATAGTAGCCAAATTGGTCAGGTTATAAATCCACCCTTACTTCCTATGTATTTGTACCCTCCTCCTGGTCCCCTCCCCCTTTCCACTGGAATGTTTCCCCCAAGAGTGTTTTCAAAAAAGGTCTTTTTAGCTTTGGATGCCTGAAGATATCTTTGTTTTGTCCTCACATTTAAATTATAGTTTACTTGGATGTAGCATTCTAGGTTTAAATGTTTTCTTTAACACTTAGACTATTTCTTCATTATCTTCCTGGTTAGAAATGCTGCTGAGAATTCTGAAATTAACCTGATTCCTTTATAAGCAGTCTTGTCTTTCTCTCTGAAACTTATAAAATTTGCTATTTTAAAATTGTGGTTATATTTCTTTGTATGTGTTCATGTGTGAGATTCATTCATTTATTCATTCATTCTACTGACACTTTATCAGCCTTCAAACTAGGATTTTTGTTTCCTTGCAGCCCCATGGCCCCACTGGCTCAAGCATGGACTATAGGGACTGGGGACAAATCCAGGTTATAGGCCCCTAGTCCAGTGATGGCGAACCTATGACACGCGAACTCATTTTTTTGGTTGATTTTTCTTTGTTAAATGGCATTTAAATATCCTATATAATAAAAGCCTAATATGCAAATCGAATGAACGGCAGAACAACCAGTCACTGTGATATGCATTGACCACCAGGGGGCAGATACTTAACGCAGGAGCTGCCCCTAGCCCAGCCATGGGCAAACTACGGCCCAGCCCGTTTGAAATGAATAAAACTTAAAAAAAAAAGACTGTACCCTTTTATGTAATGATGTTTACTTTGAATTTATATTAGTTCACACAAACACTCCATCCATGCCTTTGTTCCGGCCCTCCGGTCCAGTTTAAGAACCCATTGTGACCCTCGAGTCAAAAAGTTTGCCCACCCCTGCCCTAGCCCATAGGCCCAAACTGGTGGTGGCGGTTGGGGGTGGAGCCAGCAAGCAGGCGGCACCATGCCAGCCAAAATGGCCCTCCTCCCCCGCCCCGATCACCCTGCTGGTCGTCACACAGAGGGAGGCAACCAGTGGTGGCGGGGGAGTGGGCCGGACAGCAGCCCGTGCCATGCCAGCCAAGGTAGGTGCCAGCAGGGGTCCCCGATCACCCTGCCAGTCGCCCCGCAGATAGGCCCTGATCTCCAGCCAGGCCTAGGGACCATACCCATGCACGAATTTCGTGCACCAGGCCTCTAGTATAAAATAAGTATCAAAAATATAAGTCTTTGTTTTACTATGGTTGCAAATATCAAAAAATTTCTATATGTGACATGGCACCAGAGTTAAGTTAGGGTTTTTCAAAATGCTGACACGCCAAGCTCAAAAGGTTCGCCATCACTGATGTAAACTAATCCATTGCAAGGATACAATTCAGAGATTTTTTTAGTAAAAGTGTTCAGCAGGGCAACCATTGCCATATTTCAGTTTTAGATATTTCCATTACCCCTAAAAGTTCCTCTGCCCATTTACACTTCACCCTGCTTCCACCTCCAGCTCTAGGCAACCACTGATTTGAATTTTCTCTTTATAAACTTGCTTTTTCTAAACATTTAAGCATGTACTCTTTGATGACTAAATAATATTCCATTTTATGGATATCATTGGCTGCTTTTCATTTACCAAGCATAGAAAAGATTCTAGTTGCATTATCCTAATGTGCTTATTCCTCTGAAACTATCCTATTAAATACACTGATATATTTTCTAGTTATTTGTATTACTTACAAATTTAATCTCTTTTTGGTTCTCTTGTTTTCTTCTGGCAAACAAACCTTCTTGTAGCACATCTGGGATACCGCAATTGTGTAGGTAAATTATAGCAATATAGAGCATAGCCAGCAGATGGAGACAGAGAACACCAAATATTCAGACTCAGGTTTTTACCTATGCTGTTTCTCAGCCTCAGGAGCTGTGGCACCAGGATATCAGGTTCCATTCATTATAACATTGGTTCTCAAACCTGACTGTGCATTGTAATTACCTGTGCAACTTTAAAAAATTCAGATTCTGAGTTTAGTGGTCTGGGATGCCGTCTTGCCATTGAGACATCTAAAATCTGCACAAGTGCTTGTAATTACAGCAAAGTTTGAGACCCACTACTTTAGAACGGGGAACAGTGGGTCTTGAGTTGGAGAACTTGTGAAAAACAGAGGCCCTAACTGTTGTAGTTTTCATCCTTTTGAGAACTTGTGCATGCTCAAATGGCCAGGTATTAAGCTTAAGATAGTTAAATATGTAATCAGGACTAAACCTGCTACCGTCTCATGTTAGATTCTAATGCATCAGAGTAACTTTAGGCATCAACTATTTAAGAAAATTTTATAGGAGAAAAATTTCAATTAATAAAATGCTATTATCATTATTTTTATGATGATCCTTATTGTATCAACTCACCACACTGTATCACAACTGCCTGTTTACGTGGCTGTCTCCCTACCAGACCATGAGAGTTAGCATCGAGTCTTATTAACCTTCCTATCTCCCCCATCTAGCACTGGCCAGACATACAGCAGGCTCTCAACAAGTGTATGTTGAATGAATTGTGAAGGTATTAAATATCCCCATTTTATAGATGAGCAAAATGAGGCCTATAAGGAAATAATGACTTGTTCTAGGTGACACTGCTGGTCAAGGGCAGAGCAGGAATTGAATTCAGGTCTTGGACTCCTTTCTCCAGTGCTCTTCCCTCTATACTGCTGCTATCATCAGTCTGTCGAGGTCAGATATAGAAGCCAAAATACGAAGAGGAGTTCTTTTCCTGTTTGTTTGTTTGTTGTTGTTGTTGCTGTGTTTGGCTCTGGTTTTCCCAACTATGGCTTTCCTGATAATTGAGGGCCCGAGGGGAAGCTTTCACACAAGCCTTGCTCTCCGGTGGAATAACTGTGACATCAGAGCTGACAGCAGCCTTCAGGATCATCCAGTCCACCCCACCCCACCCCTTTACCTCAAGGCAGCGGTTCTCAACCTGTGGGTCGCGAACAATGAAAATACATCCTGCATATCAGATATTTACATTACGATTCCTAACAGTAGCAAAATTACAGCTATGAAGTAGCAACAAAAATAATTTTATGGTTGGGGGTCACCACAACATGAGGAACTGTATTAAAGGGCCGCGGCATTAGGAAGGTTGAGAACCACTGCCTCAAGGGAAACCAAGAGTCCTAGAGGTGGGAGTGAGTCAACCACAGTCACATGCTAACAGCAGAGTGGACTCCCTTTACAGTGCTCTTTTTATTCACAGGAGGTAAAGTGGCCTCAGCGTGGGCAGAGCAGCAGAGAGGAGCCAGTTACTCAGAGGGCAGATGCTCCATGGAAGCCTCCAGCACAAGCAGTCAACCCCTAAAGCCTCCAACAGGTACCCCCAGAAATAGCGTGACTCATGCTGGGAGGGGAAGGAGAGGAAAGCTCAGCAGGCAGAGGACATGTAGTCTGGGCCCCGCCCAGAGGGACCTTTTATAGTTTATGCTCTTTGCCAACTGCTGACGTGCGTGCTCTTTATAGCTTTTCTAAGAGGAGGGTATTACCTTCCCAAGCCTGGAGGTTCATGACTACGGAAGGGACATGGGATGTTTCATCCCACTTGCGCCCTTTGAATGTGAATTCATATGACTTATCTTTGGGTTATTGCACTTGCCTGGAGCTACAGCAGGGCTGTCCCACCAGGTCCACTCTTTTCTGCCAACACATGCTGGCACCCAGGGCACAGCTAGAGAAGTGAAACTCAGGCCTCTGAGATGGGGAAATACAATTCGATGGCACCGCGGTATGGAAGTGCGTGTGAAACTCACTGGTCCAGGTAGGGGTGGGGAGCAGGGCCTGCTGGCTGCTCCCAGGGTTTCTGTTGGGACTCGGGAGAGAATAGTGGGCAGTTGGTAGTACTGCCCGCTCCACCATAGACCAGCAAACTTTCACTCTTCATGCCTTCATGCATCATCCTTCACACAAAACACAACAAATACCACCTACACTGTGTCAGGCAACTACATGTTGAGAATAGTATACTGGCCCTGGCCTTGAGGAGCTCACAAATGACCTTTAGTTTTATCTGACTTTTTAAAATAAATCATGAGCTGCTGATTGTGCTTATTTCTGGGGTTCTGCAAAGAAGTTATTGCTATTGTTTCCCTGGGCAAACTGCAGTGTGCGTGCCTGTGTGTGCGTGTGCGTGCCTGTGTGTGCCTGTGTGTGTGTGTGTGTGTGTGTGTGTGTGTGTGTGTGTGTGTGTAAGGAAGCAGCCACTGCACAGCTCAGGTGCTACCTCCTCCAGGAAGCCTTCCTTAACCTGTCCTGCATCCCGTCAAAGTGTGTTCTTTGGAACATCAATCCCATGAGATGTGTGAGAAAGGGTTTCATTATCAAGTGAGTTTGGCAGATGCTGAATATCACCTCCCCACCTTGGGGATTTTAGAATAACATTAGGCTAAGCAAACAGAAAACTGTAAAAGGATTCCTTTAACTTTGATTAACACAGCCTTTTCCAAGCAACAGAATTCTTTTCTCAAGGAACACATACTAGCATCCTGTGGAGCGTGTTCTGTGTAACTCGCTGTGTAGGCCGTTTGAGAGGATTACATGAGATGCTAAACACATGACTCCCAGCACAGCTCCCAGCACTCGAGTTGTGGACACCCAGCACATGAGTGCCTTATCACTTCTTCCCTAAAGTCAGCAATGTTTATTCCAACCTTTCCTAGCTCAGCTACAAAAAAGCATTTTAGACTGTTGGGACAAGAAATTTTCCAGAAAACTACTGTTGATCCCTTTCCATGAAAGGAGGATCGCAGACGGTGGAATTAAAGAAGTGTGTACTTTGGAAGCTGAAATGTGGCCCTGGCAAGCCTCGATGTGAGAACACTCGCTCTTGGATTACTGGGCAGTGACTGGTCACACCTGCACGAGCAGGAGGCAACGAAGTGGGGTGACGTGCCCAAAGTGGCGGAACAGCCCCACCTTGCACACACAAACCAGAGTGGGTCCCGACACTCGGGTTCAGATCTGAGCACCTCGTGGTCTGATCCTTTGGAAAAAATCTGGCAGTGGTATCCCAAAAGCCTTAAAAATCTTTCCACCTAGGAATGCCATTCTGGAATTATAGTTAGGAAACTATGCAACGTGCAGACAAAGCTACGTGCATGAGGATATTCATCACAACATTTTAAAGGACAATACTGGGAGCAACCGATGTCTAACAGGGAATGGTTCCATCCACAATGGGGCTTCTCTCTTAAATACCTTACTGCTGTTTAAAATAAAGTTTATAAAGAGTTTGAGTGATATGGGGACATGCTTAGGCTGTAATGTTAAGGAAATAAAATGGGCTTAAGAATAAAAAATTCACATTATAATAATAGCTATGGTGGTGCGCTGAGGAAGAAAAATTTACCAATGTATTAGGAGTGGTTATTTCTTAGTAGAGAAGCAATGAATGATTTTTCTTTCTATTCTATATATCTTTCTATATTTTCTCCTCTTGTCCTATATGTCTTTCTGTATTTACAAGTTTTATACAATAATGATCAGGAAAAGGTAAGCATTTGTTTTAAAAAGAAAAAAAAAGATTGGAAACCGAGTTACCAGTAGATCTAAATAGCGTTACAGGCACCATTGCGGTGCCCAGAGAAACCTCCCCCCTCTAAACAATGCCAGTTTGTGTTGGGGAATCCACCCACCAGTGCTTCCCAAACCCCAGGAACCATGTGCCCTGTGTTGTCACATCTGTGTAGAACATACACTATGACTTAATATTTGTGTAGAAACTAACTCAGTTTTTTAAACTTAAGTACATATATTTTAAGATAACGTTTTAACTACTCTAAGTGGAAAAAGTAATACCACTTTTCATCAATGGAAAGTAACCACAAAAAATAAATGCAGTAAAGCAAATCAATATTACCCAATTCTAGACAGGTGACGCTCCTGAGTTAAACCCTATTTTCTCTCTGTTTAATAAAAAGTGGGGGCTGGGAGACTGTTGTCAGGGAGGAAGGGACAGATTACCAAAGTTGTGAGATTCACAAATTCCAGCACAGCAAGACTCCTTAAATGAATCAGAAAGATTGAAAGGTAATTGAAAATTATTTTCTGATTAGACATTTTTAAAAATGATTTGCCTATGTAGCCCCCAAACTGCCTACCATACCACACGCTGAGGGCAAGTGCCATGCAGTATTCCTAGCGCCTGTGGGCCTCCCACAGGATGTGGTCACTTGCCCAGCTGGTTTCAAACTCAAGGACAGGTGTTTCATCGCCAGCATCTTTCCTTCCCTTGTACAATTCCACAGTCTCACCTTTGTTTCCAATGCAGTATTCCTAATGCCTTTGTCATTTATTTGCCAAGCATGTTCCAGGGCTTATAAAACCATCAACTTGCTGATGCTTCGCCAGTTCTGATCCAAAACAGGCCAGGCATGTTCCAAATGGCAAAGAAAAAAAAGAGGCCACCAGTGCTGGGAAGTAGTGGAAGCCAGGTAAAGGCTTAGTGGCCTTGAACTCACTCCTCATACAGATGAAGACACTGAGGCCTGAGAGGAGGGAGGGTGAGACTCTAGGTCCCCCAACCCCAGGTCAATGCCACCTCTCCCTTACACTCCACCTGAAGTTTGCTCAGAATCAAAGGCACCGTTTGGCTTTCAGTGTGAGAGCTTTGCCTACTTTGGAACCAGAAAGTAAAATCAGAGACCAATGAAGAAGAGAAGGGGTCCTCCTGCAGGTGTTTCTCTTCAAGTCCAACCTCATTTTTCTCTCTCCTAATTGACACCTAGCTGGGGGCTTGCTTGGCTCAAGAAAGAATCACACACACACAAACAAATCACAGATCTGTGAACTTCAGGAGAAGGAGGGACTCATATGACTCATTCAACCAACGTCCAGGAGAGACTCTCCATCCGCCAGTGTACCTGGCACTGCCGCCTCATTTAATAGAAGACAAGAAGTCCCAGAGAGGAAGTGTGACTCACTCAGGATGGCCCCGCTAGTAAGCAGCTGTGCTGGGACTTGGATACGAGTCTCTGGGTCCAAAGCCAGTGCTCATCTCAACAAAAAAAGTTTTAAAGATAAAATTCATTTTGAGAAAACCAAGATGGCGGCATAGGTAAACACCGGAGATTGCTGCCTCGCACAACCACTTCAAAAATACAACTAAAAGACAGAATGGACATCATCCAGAACCACAGGAAGGCTGGCTGAGTGGAAATTCTACAACTAAAAGGAAAGAGAAAAGCATACCGAGACTCAGAGGAGGTGCAGTGTGGAGGTGAAATACTGAGGTGTGGAGGTGTGTGCGGAGCGGGCTGGCTGCTGAGGGCTCGGTTGTCGTTTTCAATCGGGAGGGAGTCTCAGGCTCTGAGCTCCAGTTCCGGGCGAGTCTCTAGGGACCCAGACTCATATGGGAGAAGCGGGACTGTCTGGCATCGGTCAGAACCCGAGGGCAGCTTTCTCTCCGAGGGGCTTGCAGCGATTAATGGGACACTGAGAAGCAGAGTCTCTGAGGGCAAGACTGAGAGCAGCCATAATTGCTAACCCCGCCCTGTTGATCCCGGGACCTGCCCCGCCCAAGCCTTGCAGGGAGACTTTTGCTGGATAGCCGCAGGCAAAGGTTAGATTAGCACCTCCCTAGAGATCCAGGAGCCAGGAAGCCCAGAGGTCAGAGTGGGACCATCCAGTTTGCAGCTCCGTGGAACCATAAAAGACACACTCAGGGGGCAGACTCAGTGAGCACCAAAGCCCCATTGAAGCAAGTCTAGCCCCAGAGGGGTGTCTCCAGCACAGAAGTTCTCCCACTGCAGACACAGCTGATTCTCACAGCCAATTGGCCTGGAGGTCAATTCCTCCCAGTGATAACTACAACAATCAAGGCTTAATTACAACAAGACTGTGCACAAAGCCCACAAGGGGGTGCACCAAGAGTGTCTACCTCAGGTAATTGGGACACTTAGCACAGAAAGGCACACTATCGACACAGCGAAGCATAAAAAATGCCGAGACAAAGAAACAGGACACAAACGACAGAATTGGAGGAAAGCAAAATGCTGGATATAGAGTTCAAAACCACACTTTTAAGGTCTTTAACCGTTTGAGTCCCAAGCAGCGCAATCGCGCTGCTTGGTATTTCTCGACATAAAATAAAACAAGCGCTATCACGCTGTTTGGGTCTTTTCGTACTCATTTAGAGAAAGCGCGGTTGCGCTGTTTGGGATTCTTCGACAGTGTTTTTTCAATACCCCCTGGGACTCAAACGAATCGTATGTTTTCTCGACATAAAATCTCAGCAGCACAATCGCGCTACTTGGGACTCAAACGGTTAAAGAACTGTTTAGAAGCCATAAATGTAGTGAGATCTTTTCTTACCCTGAGCCAGGTATCTCCTTACTTGACTTTTCAACTGAGGTTTCTCTGGGTTTCTGGGAGGGGGCCAGAGCCAGAACAGGACAGGGAACAGAGCCTACTGTTTGTGGATCAGCTTCTGGAAGCCAGGCCTGTGTTTTTCTTCTCCCTTGCTGTGCCTGCCTCCCCTGTTCCCTTTCTAGATAGGAGGGAGTCTGTATCCTAATGCTCTGGTTTGTGCAAACATTCTGTCCTCTCTCTATCTTACCCCCACCTATAATGTTCTGTAATGTTCCCATGACAGGGCAGTTTCCTCTCAGGAGGCCAGGAGCTGAGTTAGCATGCAAATTGAGCTGCAGATGGTGAAAGGAATCACAGTTCTTCCTGGTGACTGAGCCCAGCGGCCATATGGCTGTCCTGAGCTGCTTTTCATACTCACCCTTCACAGACCCAAGGGACCTGTCCTCTCCTGATTTTCTAGTTGTCTCCACCTGTTCTCCCTTCTTAATGCCTCTCATCTTGGTTTCCACTAAATCTAAGCAGACAGAAAAGGGGAAAAGGTGGAGAAACTGAGACAAAACTATGACTGCATTTTTCTACTTTTTAAATGGTGTGGATGAAAAAGAGGCCACATACTAAACCTGACAAGTGCCACGGAGGCCTGCATGATGGACCTTATAAACTCAAAGACCCAAGTAACCACATAGGATGGTCCGAACATTAAAATTCCTAACTAAAAGTGGGTCATGGCTGGTAGTCACATTCTAGACCTGTAGCTCTGTTGATAAGTTAATCTTTAAGTGAGCAAGTCCATTTTATTCGAACAACTAAGATATCATACCTCTGAAATATCAGAGTAATTTTCTTTTCCAGATTCCTCGAAGGCACACTCGCACAACCAATGGCACCAGAGCTTGAGACCACATTGTTATCTTGTTGCCTAAATACCATCTCTGTGTGCAGTAGGTGTTAACTATTCTGTACCGACCAATGTAACAGATATGCCTCTCTGTTTTACTTTTTATCCAATCTTAAGAGATTTCTCCACTTTACTTTCTCACACTCTCTTAATGAAGTTTATGTATAAAATAAACTGCAAAACTGTTATTTTTCAGGAGCATTTGCTCAATCTGTTGATATTCTGTTTACTGACAATTGTCGTCAGTTTGGCTCAATACATTCATTAAAATTCTCAGCAAGTGTAGACGTTCACTACAGTACAATAGTTTCATTTAGGTTTTGCAGACTAAGGACATGTAGGGATGCCCAATGTCTAGACTCAGTCTTCTTCCTTAGGTTTTTCTTTTTCTTTTTTATTGTTTTTAAAATACACATAACAAAATTTACCATCATAGCCATTTTTAAGCATATAGTTCAGTAGTATTAAACATATTCACATTGTTGTGCAGCAGTCACCACCACCTATCCCCATAACTCTTTCATCTTGTAAATCTGAAACTCTATAACTATTAAACACTAACTCCCCATTCTCTCCTCCCTGCCAGCTCCTAGCAACCACCTTTATACTTTCTGTCTCTGTGATTTGACTAAGTACTTCATATAAGTGGAACCACACAGTATTTGTCTTTTTGTGATGGCTTATTTCACTTAGCATAATATCCTAAAGGTTCACCCATGTTGTGGCAAATTGGAGAATTTCCTTTCTTTTGAAGGCTAAATAATATTCCCTTATATGTATATACTATATTTTGCTTATCCACTCGTTGGTCAATGGACACTTGGGTTGTTTCCAAGTTCAGCTTGTGAATAATGCTGCTATGAGCATGAGTGTACAAATAGCTCTTCAAAATCCTGCTTTCAATTTTTTGGGGTATATACACAGAAGTAGAATTGATGTTATATGATAATTCTATATTTAATTTTTTAGGCACGCCTATACTGTTCCTCCCTTAATTTTTTTATATATGTTTGATGGTTGTTGCAGACACCTATATACTATCAAGTGATAATGTGTCATGAGAACTTCCCAAATCCCCAAATTTGTCACTGTCACTAGAGCACTAGAAATCAACTATTCATGGAGACATTTTATTTAGTTTTTCACCAAGAAATAAAGGTTTTATCAGGTAGGCCAAGTGTTCCTCACTTCCATATGCATGAAAGCATCTGAAGAGCTTTTCTGAACTCCACCATTGGAAGTTCCCCATGGGTGGGTCCGAGATGGGGTTGAAGTGTTTGCAAAGCATGGACTTCCTCTGAATCTCACTCCCTTGAGTCTCAGTCCCATTGACATGAGGGTGCTAATGGAAGTGACCCCACAAGCTTGTGAGGATTCAGTGAGATGATAGGTGTGAAGTACAGGCATAGGTCATAAAGGTCAAGTATTGTTATCATTGAAGGGAGGGCCCTCCTTAGCAACCTTGCAGCTTCCATCATTGAAATGCATGTTTCAGAAAACTATAAGAGGCCATAATTACCCTTTGCTTCATAGTGGAAACTCCAAGTGCTAGAGTAGCAAACATCACAGTATGTTGTCTTACATAATTTCTGCTAATTAAATTTCTTTTCATAACTGTAGTGAAAGTTCTTTGCCCTCCCCACCCCCATTCCCAATTGGGCTACATGCCAAGGGGAGTATGGGAATATACAGCTTGAAATATCCCATTAACAAATAAACTTGAGGAAGCAAGATTACAAAAGCATCGGGACAGTGTGTGAGAAATCAGTGTCTCCTTCACTGCAGGAGGAAGTGTAAATAGGCATAGTCTTTTTGGAGGACAATTTGGCATATATTCCAACTCTAAAGTAAATACCTCCTTTGTATTTCCATGTTTAGGCATCTATTCTGGGAAAATACAGGCATATACAGTGGGGCCTTGACTTACGAGTTTAATTCGTTCTGAGACCAAGCTCGTTAAGGAGCTCATTAACTCAAATTACTCTATCAACTCAATGCAAAAAAAATCGGTGGAGAGACAGCTGGTATCTCAAAAACTCATTAGTCGGGACACTCGTAAGTCAAGGCCCCACTGTATAAACAAAGAAGCATGTATAAAGTATATGATGCATATAACAGCAAATTGTTTATGATACAAAAACCACCTAAATGTTCAACAATTCAAATCTGGTTAAATAAATTATGAACCACTTATAGAATAGAATATTAGATAGTGGTTGTTTTTGAAAAGGGGGGAAAGATACTAACATGGAAATCTCTCTATGACACAATGTCAAGTGAATAAAGCAAAACAATATAACTTCATTCCTGCAGAAAAGGGACATATTTGTATATATACATATGTGTGTATGTAAAAGCTTAGGAAAGCACTTAGAAAAATTTACAGTAAACACATGAAAAAATGAAAAAAAAGAACTTTTAAAGATTGTTAACTAAGTGATAGTAGCCATGTCTGAGTCACTTGAAGAGAGGGATTAAGGAGCACCCCCTTGCCCAGAGTGCTGTGGAGGGTTCTCCTGCAAGTTTTTTGGGGCCGTCCACTTTGGCCCCACTCACTCACCAAGGCTGTGCTGCTCAGTAATCCGGCCTCGGGCCAGCCCCCTTGGATGTGGCGTTGGGCTTGCTCTTTGTTGTCTTCTGTGCTGCTTTGGGCCATTGATCTCAACCCTGTACTGAGCTACTGTGTCCTCTTCAGAGACTCTGGTTCCTCCTTCAGACTGAGGGGTCCTGGGTGCTTGTATCCTTTGAGCTTGATTCTGAGATGCTGGGTGTGAGCTAACTACCTGGGGTGGCCAGTCTGAGCCCTCCTCTCTTGACTTGCTTAGTGTTTCTCTGCTTATCCAGGCCTCCCCATAAGTCTGCGGTTCTCAACCTGTGGGTCGCGACCCCTTTGGGGGTCGAACGACCCTTTCACAGGGGTCGCGTAAATACATCCTGCATATCAGATATTTACATTACAATTCATAACAGTAGCAAAATTACAGTTATGAAGTAGCAACGAAAATAATTTTATGGTTGGGGGTCACCACAACATAAGGAACTGTATGAAAGGGCCGAGGCATTAGGAAGGTTGAGAACCACTGCTGTAGTGCTCATGAGGTGCTTGTCCCAGATCTGACCACCAAGGACGAAACAGGCTTTCTCTTCATTCCCATGGTCATTAGAGTTTTACCTCTACACCCGCTTCTCTGAAATTCTGTAATTGGGATAAGAAAGAGGGCGGGCTTCTTATTCAGGACCCTGTGCAACATTTTGTATTTTTTCACTGTAGTCCAGCTTATTATAGCCCTCTCTCTAGGAACCTCTCAGTGTGGAGCAGTGTAGGCTCAGAGACCACCAACCATCAAGAATGGGCTCTGTCTCTCAACTCCCAAGGGCCTTGCCAGCTTGTGATCTTTGAACATCCATCTCCTTGGATGAGTTACATAAGTGATAGGTGGGTAATGTCACCTACTTAGGGGTCTCAGCCCTGGGATGGCTCCAAAACACCACATATTCACCATCTCTCCCAGGAGGACATTGAATCCTCCTGGAACTGGATCTCCAGGAGACACCAGATGGGACAACACTTAGCTTCATAGTTAAGCTCTTACTCTGAAATTCAACATTACACAGAGAAAATTCTTTTCTTTGGCCATTGTTCCTAAAGACACCAGGAAAACCAGTGCTGAACTGTGATGTAGCAATGAACAAAGGGCTAGAAGGTGTTCCTGAACTTTCCTCTTTGTGATTTGCATATCCGAGAAAACATACCCTAATTAGAGAGAAACCAGTTATTAACTAGAACAGAGGAACTAGATCATGTCATCCTCTTCCTGCTCTACTGCCCCGCCCCACACTCCTTTCTGGTAACACTGAGGGTATAAATTGTGGCTGGGCTCTGTGTGTGCATTCACATCAAAAGCCAAAATGAAGACATGCACACTCTTTGCTCTAGTGGCTTTCATCACCGTGGGGATGGAGATGGCCTGTGGTGACCCTCTGACACCTCCTGTCCAAGGTGAGGGTGCTGAGGGGGGTCCTGCCTGACAGCAGAGAAGGCTCAGAGCCCAGCTTCAGACCTGAGGATGGTTTGGCACAGAAGCAGGCAGTGTGTTCACTGCAGAATGGAGATTTTGGACTGATCAGATCCACATTCTTTGACTTTGAGGAGTGATCACCCTGCATTCCCATTCTTCTTATCTGATCAGATTGGGTCTGAATAGAAGTTGGGGTTTTCTCTAGATATGCCTTGGATGCGGGACTCCAACAGGAGTAACTCCGTGATCAACATGGGATATGTGTGAGGTGGGGAGATGGCTGTCTGTGATCAGAGATTTTTCTAATATCTTATAAGGTGGAAAGAAGAGGGTTATGACAGCGCAGGTTTCTTGTCTGCTGGCACTGTGCAGCCTTTGGAGCAGGGAGAACATTCTCCTAAGGGCCTGACTGTGAAAATGGGGGCTCTAGAGTAAAAGTGGAGCTGCTGATGCTGAGGGTTGGATCCAGGAACATGAAGGAAGGAATGGAAGAGGTGGGAGTCCTGCTAGTGGCGAGGCCATCCGACCTCAAACACCAGTTCTCACGCCTGTATAGTGACTGTTCCAGATTGCACAAAAACCGTTGTATGTTTCAGAGCAACAAAGACCTGGAGTCTGCCCCAAGGTGCCCAAAGGAACCTTTGGGATTTGTCTTGATAGATGCACAGGAGATGCATCTTGTCCCAAGGGAATGAAATGCTGCGTCCATGGATGTGGTCGTGTCTGCAAAACTGCTGTCCCTGCAGTGAGTATAAATCAATGAAGAGCTGTCCAGGGATGCAATAACTTCCTAGTGGACTTTGCTAAGGCAGATGAGTGCTCACGTGTCCACTGCCTGCAGGAGTCTGGATAACCCAAGGGAAAGAGTCTGGAAATGAATGGCAGAAGGACACCTGGCTGCGTTATCCAAGACCCTCTCCTCGAAGAGAAGCCCCATCCCTATCCCTGGTTGGCTCTCAGTTGAGACAAGTAACCATGATCCTAGGTTCTCAGGTCATTATTATCCCAAGGGTTTCCCACCCTCCTTCTCCTTCCCCACCAAGGGGGCTTCACTCTCCTGGAAATGAATGTTTGTGGGAAGATGGGGAAAAGGAAAGGGAACACCAATTATTGGGTATCTTCTGTGTTTGTCAGGCATTGTGCTGAAGCTGAGATAAAAAGATAAACACAACCAGACAAGGAGACAGAACTATGTAAAAAATTACAACAGTGTAACCATGGCTTTGTACTAGTTTCTACTAAGGTCGTGGGCGCAAAGGGAAAGTTATTGGCTTTGCCTGGGCGGTTGGATCAGTGCGTGTTGGGAAGGTTGTTGGAGAGTAGAGAACATTTAAGGAAGTGCTTAAAGGAGGCATAAAGTTTGCTGGAGGAAGGAAGGGAAGTTCAGATGGTGGGAGAAGTGTGGGTCCATTGGAGAGGGGAAAGTGACTGTGGTAGAAGTTGCAGCATTTCAGGGGCACAACATCTCAGCATCTTAGTAGAGGGTCATCTAAGCCAGGGTCCAAAGAAGAGTGAGATGCCTGTCAGTTTGGTAGACTGCTGGAGGTTTCTGAACAGAGGAAGTGTCATGATCAAATTTGTATTTCAGAAGGGTGGCTTGGGTGGCCCAGTGAAAGATGGACAAGGTGTTTATTAAGCGTGCCTGGAGACCAGCCCCAGAAGATTTCTCATGAATCTGATGCTTGGCTAACAAGACTCTTCTACAAACCATTCCTGGCTATTCTCTATCCCTGGACTTGCAGCTCTAGAAGATGAAGATCTAAAGTGGTGGAGTGACCACTTCTAAAGAGCTTATGTCCAAAATAAACCTTATCTGTGGCATGATTCAGGCTCTGTCATTCTTCCCATTTAGGCATTCTAGTGGACCTCTGTGGATGGGCAGGACCATATGTGTGTCCTGCACTGAGCCCATGAATGCAAGGTACTCATGAAAGATCAGAGGCAACATCCTTCCAGCTAGTTCCTTTCCTCCTTCCATGTCCATGTCTCTAGACAGGGCAAAGGGCATAATAATATTTTCTCAATCATTCTGTGAATAAAAATGACCTTCTAGCACTTAGCAAGCCTATTGGAGCAGGACTGGATGCCTAACTCCAGGAGAGCAACCCCAGCCCTTGGGATGTGGGACTTTGAGTGGCAAAGACTGGGAAGTGCCAGCTCCGGCCCTGGAGTGACTAGGAGTTAGGGTACAGTCAGGACATAGGCTCTGTGGGTGGAGTCTTTGATTCAGAGTTTTCCTGAGGCAGAGGATAAACCTAGGTCTCCCAAAGAAGCCTTGACAAAAACTATGGTCTGAGCTGACCGCTACAAGCTCCATCTCCCAGCGCTCTCTGTTCACTTTCCCACCTTGATCCCCCCACTTAGCCTGCCGAGTTTGGCAGGCTCCCATCAACTTGTCCCTGTCCATCATGCTGCTGTTGCTTCTCCATAGCACATCTTATAACCCCAGTGGCCCATGGCCTCACCAGTCTGTACATTGGAATGAGCATATTAGCATCAATATCTTCTTTTACTGGTTGGTCATCTACATCCCAAACCCCAGCATGCTTTAGTCACTCTTGGTCATTTTTGGAGGTTCATAGACACCTCTAACATGGTCTCAAACAATTTCACCTATTGTCTGCCATTCTGAATGCCAAAGATACTTGAGGATGGCATCCTACAACTTCCACTTACCTTTCTGCCCTTTAGATAGTCCTGAAATCCCTAGAAAGTTGTTTGTGCTCTTTTGTCAGCTTCTCATTTTTTTTCTCGCCTGCATTCCAACCCCCTTTATATTTTGGAGAAAACTCTTCTTTCTCCTTATGGAAATTGACAAGGGCCAGACAGTCTCACCCTGCTTCCTAGCAGGTAGGGTTTGGAATTAGGATGCTATTTTCTGATGATGTGGATTGATAGGGAGTGACACTTAAGACTTATGAATTGTCAAAACCAATTCACAACAGCAGAGGTGCCAGTGACAGCATCCTAACCAGATTTGCCACGGGCTGAACTTGGCTATGTCCTCTTCTACCTGCTGTATTTAGGTCCTTGATATTTTTCCCAAGCCTGGTTCACCAGCCTTTCCTACTGTTTCTGTGAGCTGTATACTAATGTCTTTCCAGAATTCCTGTTCTCTCAAGTTGGACAGAATTGGCTTTTTTGTTTGCATCCAAGAACATTAACTTGTACAGAAATTGGTGTCAGGAGTGGACACAGGCCAAAAATACTCGGGGAGATGGCAGGAGTCTGGGTTTTATGAACTGGTCTAGTTAGAAGCCCCCTTGTTCACATGCCTATGCTCTCCTGTTCACGTGGCCTACCCCCTTGAGACCTTGGATGGTCTCTGTTTTGGGGAGCCACCTCCATGGTGGGCAGAGCTACAAATGGAACCCTGGGTTGCTCACAGCTTGTGTTTCTTTACCTGTGACCTCTGGCTGAGCGCCCCTCACCCTGTGGCCATTTGCTCTACTGGGCTTCTCCCTTCCCCTGACCCCCCTCTCCCACCCTCAGTGGACAGGGGTCCTGTCATTGCACCTGTGCCTCTGGGCGGCTGCTGGGTGCCTCCTGGTACAAGACCCTGATGCCACCCCACCTCTGTGGCAGCATCTCTCATCCCCTGGAGACCCCATTCAGTGCTCCCCTGCAGCTCCAAGGACCTGCTGAGCCCAGGTCCCAGCCTGTCACTAGTTCCCCAAGTCCTGCCTGCAGCCCAGGATCCTCAAGGCAGTCTGAGAGGAGGATAGACCCCTTAGACAGAGTGGTGCAGACACCAGGTGGGTACTATGCCCCACTCTCATGTGATCATGTAGCCCCGCCCCCTAGTTCACATGCCCGGTTCTGCTTGATCACGTGGCCCCGCCCCCTTGTTCATGTGCTCACTTCCGCTTGATCAAACCAGTCTGGGAGGGGCTGGTGGGTTGACCCCTTATACAGAGGGGTGCAGACACCAGGTGGGCACTCCCCCCTGCTCCCCTCTCCAGCCCCTCAGAAATGCCTTGAGCACCAAGTCTGTGCTGACGTCCAGCTCCTGGAGGGCTCGGCCTACGCACTGCAGCCACCAGAGGGGACCCATCTGCAGAGTGGCCTGGCCCCAAAGCCATTCTTCAGCCTCCCACTTACCTCTTCTGAAGGGTAACCAGGTGTGGTTTCCACCCAGCCCAGCTGCCTGCCTTGGGAGGCAGCAGAGACTGTCACCCTCTGCTGGCCCATTCCTGTTACTGCAGAAGGTAAGAGTCATCCCTGCCGCCCAGCCCATGCCCACAAGAAGCCAGCCCAGCACATCATTCCCATTTCACAGGTCAGAACCAGGCTGCGGCGCTTCCCTCAGCCGGGATGGAGCAGAGCAGGAGGGGGAATCAGGACGGTCTCTGCAGCTGATGTGTGTGGTCCCCATTTTCTCGAGCCCAGAAGGCTCCAGGGACCTCTGTGCATTTGTAACTAGCTATGTCCCTGTATTTCCCTCATGTCCACCTGCTCGTATCCTGAACACCGTAGGCTCAAGTGGGTCCACCTTCCTCTCCTCAGGTCCACACCTCCAGTCACCCGGGTTCAACGGGCTCCCCTCAGGTTCAGTGCACCTCTCGCCTCAATTCCCGCTGGGCCCACACCTACTCTCACTATTAAATTAAGATTTATTTCTGTTACTGAATTTAATGTTTTTATTGACCATATTTTTATTGCTCTTTTGTTTTTCTTTATCATTTCCATTAGCTAGATTAAATTCGCATCTGCTGTTTTGAAAGTCATACTTCTCTTTTTATTCTTCTAGAATTTACCCCTGTGGTTTTTAAAGCATGTTAATATTCTCACCTATTCCAGAACAGGGACATCACCTTAGTGTGCCCTCATTTCTCTTTGGACATGCACTCTCCAACCCCATCCCACTTGGTAGCCAAGTAGATATGTCATATGGAATTTTAGTTCTTGATTCTTGACTTCATGTTTGCACTTTAAAAAGTTGTTTATTTTGATAATAGCCAAATTGGTCAGGTTATAAATCCACCCTTACTTCCTATGTATTTGTACCCTCCTCCTGGTCCCCTCCCCCTTTCCACTTGAATGTTTCCCCCAAGAGTGTTTTCAAAAAAGGTCTTTTTAGCTTTGGATGCCTGAAGATATCTTTGTTTTGTCCTCACATTTAAATTATAGTTTACTTGGATGTAGCATTCTAGGTTTAAATGGTTTCTTTAACACTTAGACTATTTCTTCATTATCTTCCTGGTTAGAAATGCTGCTGAGAATTCTGAAATTAACCTGAATCCTTTATAAGCACTCTTGTCTTTCTCTCTGAAACTTATAAAATTTGCTATTTTAAAATTGTGGTTATATTTCTTTGTATGTGTTCATGTGTGACATTCATTCATTTATTCATTCATTCTACTGACACTTTATCAGCCTTCAAACTAGGATTTTTTTTTTCCTTGCAGCCCCATGGCCCCACTGGCTCAAGCATAGACTATAGGGACTGGGGACAAATCCAGGTTATAGTCCCCTAGTCCAGTGATGGCGAACCTATGACACACGAACTCATTTTTTTAGTTGATTTTTCTTTGTTAAATGGCATTTAAATATCCTACATAATAAAAGCCTAATATGCAAATCGAATGAACAGCAGAACAACCAGTCACTATGACATGCATTCACCACCAGGGGGCAGACACTTAATGCAGGAGCTGCCCCTAGCCCAGGGTCCCAAACTGGTGGTGGCGGTTGGGGTGGGGCCGGCGAGCACCAAGCCAGCCAAGGTAGGTGCCAGCAGGGGTCCCTGAGCATCCTGCCAGTCGCCTGCAGATCGGCCCTGATATCCAGCCAGGCCTAGGGACCATACCCATGCACGAATTTCGTGAACCAGGCCTCTAGTATAAAATAAGTATCAAAAATATAAATCTTTGTTTTACTATGGTTGCAAATATCAAAAAATTTCTATATGTGACATGGAACCAGAGTTAAGTTAGGGTTTTTCAAAATGCTGACACGCCAAGCTCAAAAGGTTCGCCATCACTGATGTAGACTAATCCATTGCAAGGATACAATTCAGAGATTTTTTTAGTAAAAGTGTTCAGCAGGGCAACCATTACCATATTTCAGTTTTAGATATTTCCATTACCCCTAAAAGTTCCTCTGTCTATTTACAGTTCACCCTGCTTCCACCTCCAGCTCTAGGCAACCACTGATTTGAATTTCCTCTTTATAAACTTGCTTTTTCTAAACATTTAAGCATGTACTCTTTGATGACTAAATAATATTCCATTTTATGGATATCATTGGCTGCTTTTCATTTACCAAGCATAGAAAAGATTCTAGTTGCATTATCCTAATGTGCTTATTCCTCCGAAACTATCCTATTAAATACACTGATATATTTTGTAGTTATTTGTATTACTTACAAATTTAATCCCTTTTTGGTTCTCTTGTATTCTTCTGGCAAACAAACCTTCTTGTAGCACATCTGGGATACCCCAATTGTGTAGGTAAATTATAGCAATATAGAGCATAGCCAGCAGATGGAGACAGAGAACACCAAATATTCAGACTCAGGTGAACCTATGCTGTTTCTCAGCCTCAGGCCAGGCCAGAGAAAAATGAGGTTGGACTTGAAGAGAAACACCTGCAGGAGGACCCCTTCTCTTCTTCATTGGTCTCTGATTTTACTTTCTGGTTCCAAAGTAGGCAAAGCTCTCACACTGAAAGCCAAACGGTGACTTTGATTCTGAGCAAACTTGAGGTGGAGTGTTAAGGGAGAGGTGGCATTGAACTGGGGTTGGGGGACCTAGAGTCTCACCCTCCCTCCTCTCAGGCCTCAGTGTCTTCATCTGTATGAAGAGTGAGTTCAAGGCCACTAAGCCTTTACCTGGCTTCCACCACTTCCCAGCACTGGTGGCCTCTTTTTTTTGCCATTTGGAACATGCCTGGCCTGTTTTGGATCAGAACTGGCACAGCATCAGCAAGTTTATGGTTTTACAAGCCCTGGAACATGCTTGGCAAATAAATGACAAAGGCATTAGGAATACTGCATGGAAACAAAGGTGAGACTGTGGAATTGTACAAGGGAAGGAAAGATGCTGGCGATGAAACTCCTGTCCTTGAGTTTGAAACCAGCTGGGCAAGTGACCACAGCCTGTGGGAGACCCACAGGCGCTAGGAATACTGCATGGCACTTGCCCTCAGCGTGTGGTATGGTAGGCAGTTTGGGGGCTACATAGGCAAATCATTTTTAAAAATGTCTAATCAGAAAATGATTTTCAATTACCTTTCAATCTTTCTGATTCATTTAAGGAGTCTTGCTGTGCTGGAATTTGTGAATCTCACAACTTTGGTAATCTGTCCCTTCCTCCCTGACAACAGTCTCCCAGCCCCCCCTTTTTATTAAACAGAGAGAAAATAGGGTTTAACTCAGGAGCGTCACCTGTCTAGAATTGGATAATATTGATTTGCTTTACTGCATTTATTTTTTGTGGTTACTTTCCATTGATGAAAAGTGGTATTACTTTTTCCACTTAGAGTAGTTAAAACGTTACCTTAAAATATATGTACTTAAGTTTAAAAAACTGAGTTAGTTTCTACACAAATATTAAGTAATAGCGTATGTTCTACACAGATGTGACAACACAGAGCACATGGTTCCTGGGGTTTGGGAAGCACTGGTGGGTGGATTCCCCAACACAAACTGGCATTGTTCAGAGGGGGAGGTTTCTCTGGGCACCGCAATGGTGCCTGTAACGCTATTTACATCTACTGGTAACTCGGTTTCCAATCTTTTTTTTTTTCTTTTTAAAACAAATGCTTACCTTTTCCTGATCATGATTGTATAAAACTTGGAAATACAGAAAGACATATAGGACAAGAGGAGAAAATATAGAAAAATATACAGAATAGAAAGAAAAATCACTCATTGCTTCTCTACTAAGAAATAACCACTCCTAATACATTGGTAAATTTTTCTTCCTCAGTGCACCAACATAGCTATTATTATAATGTGTATTTTTTATTCTTTTTTTTAAAAATATATTTTATTGATTTTTTACAGAGAGGAAGGGAGAGAGAGATAGAGAGTTAGAAACATCGATGAGAGAGAAACATCGACCAGCTGCCTCCTGCACATCTCCTACTGGGGATGTGCCCGCAACCCAGGTACATGTCCTTGACCGGAATCCGAACCTGGGACCCTTCAGTTCGCAGGCCGACGCTCTATCCACTGAGCCAAACCCGGTTTCGGCGTGTATTTTTTATTCTTAAGCCCATTTTATTTCCTTAACATTACAGCCTAAGCATGTCCCCATATCACTGAAGGGGTCCTCCTGCAGGTGTTTCTGTTCAAGTCCAACCTCATTTTTCTCTCTCCTAATTGACACCTAGCTGGGGGCTTGCTTGGCTCAAGAAAGAATCACACACACACACACACAAATCACAGATCTGTGAACTTCAGGAGAAGGAGGGACTCATATGACTCATTCAACCAACGTCCAGGAGAGACTCTCCATCCGCCAGTGTACCTGGCACTGCCGCCTCATTTAATAGAAGACAAGACGTCCCAGAGAGGAAGTGTGACTCACTCAGGATGGCCCCGCTAGTAAGCAGCTGTGCTGGGACTTGGATACGAGTCTCTGGGTCCAAAGCCAGTGCTCATCTCAACAAAAAAAGTTTTAAAGATAAAATTCATTTTCAAACTTGGGCAAGCATCAATGGAGCCGTAATTAAAATTTATTTATTTAATCCATTCATTCAACAAATACTGATTGAGTGGGATATGCCCATATATATTGACAAGAGATGCATGGTATGACCGCCTGGTAGCATTAAAGAACTGCGTGAGGTCTGGGGCTTTGAATTTAAAATATTTTTTTTAGTGATTTCAGAGAGGAAGAGAGAGGGAGAGAGAGAGAGAGAAACATCAATGATGAGAGAGAATCATTGATCGGCTGCCTCCTGCACGACCCCTACTGGGGATTGAGCCCGCAACCCGGGCATGTGCCCTTGACCGGAATAGAACCTAGGACCTTTCAATCCACAGGCTAGTGTTGAGGTTTTGAATTTAAAGTGTGAGCCACCGGCATGGTTGTGCGTTTTTCTCGAACCTTATGCAGCTACACAGGGTCAGGCACCAAGTAAGTGGAAAGTTAGATCTAACCCGGTTGTGGTTTTGCCAAAGGAATATGATGAAGTGAAGAGGGAGAGTTGAGGGTATGCAAGAAAGTGATCAAGATGAGGAATCATAGGATTTAAAAGTGAATTTTATTTTAAAACTTTACAAAATGAATGTTGAAACCAGGCTGTGATGCCTGTTCAGGTTGGAATGATAATATTGTCATCTTT